TAGTTCAAAGGGCTGGGCGGTCACCCAGTGGTAGAGAGCACTTGCCCAGCATGTTTTAGGTCCAAGGTTCAGCTTCCAGTCTTACAGTTCTGAACCACCCCCAACACAGACAGACAGACAGACAGACAGACAGACAGACAGACAGACAGACAGACAGAGACACAACCACACATGCACACTTTGATGATTAAGAAAAGCAGGCTCAGGGAGGGATGGTATTAGAGCATGGGACTTTGGGGTTGGGGAAGCTGCCCGGCACAATTCTATAATGGGAAGAAGGCAGTTAAAAATCTACAGAATGTGCCGGGCGGTGGTGGTGCACGCCTTTAACCCCAGCACTTGGGAGGCAGAGGCAGGCGGATCTCTCGAGTTCAAGGCCAACCTGGTCTACAGATAGAGTTCCAGGACAGCCTCCAAAACAATACAGAGAAACCCTGTCTCGAAAAATCTACAGAATGCGTAACAGACACCAAGACTGAACCCGAGTGCAGAAAGCACTGTGGGTGTGATGTGCCAACAGCAGCTCACGGGCTGGAACAAACACACCATATTGATGTGGGACACGAAGGCGGGGTGGAAACAGTTCATTGATGCAATGGATTCTATTAAGAAAAAGAAGGAAAGTTAGGAGTGCTGGGGGGCGGGAGACTGAAGCAAAGGAAGCAGCATGTGCAAGGGCCCAGCTGCAGTCAGATTAAGTGACTCCAGGCTGCCGTGGTTGGAATGCAGAGGCCATGAGGGAGGCCGAGGAAACTGATATACTGGCCATTATACAAGTAAAACCTCAGGCACCCACGGAGAGGCCTGGACATTCCCCTAGCTGCCTGTCCCCGCCATGGTCAGTGGGGGACCGCCAGCATGTGAAAATACCTTCTATGACAGGGAAGGGAGGCAGGCACACAGCAGGTTTATACTAGAGTAATGCAGCTGGTTTATACAGAGGGTAATGGAGATCAGCTCTTGCCAGTGCTGTTGGAAATACTGAGCTATTTCCCACCCCCTGTGTGAGAATTCCCAGCTGCCAGCAGGGCAGAGTAACCTCCAACACAGAAAACCATGGGTCAGAGAGTTTGAAATGTCACCAAACTAGTGGAGTGATGTGAAAGCATGTATTAAAACACAGTTAAGGGATGTGGCTCAAACCAGTAAACACTAGCTGAAGGAGCATGGCCACCTGATCTGATCCAGAACCCGTGTAGAAAGCCTGATGTGGTAGTGCACATCTGTAATTCCAGTACTCTATGTCAAGACGGCAGGCGGCAACAGCAGGCACCCTTTGGCTTCTTTCGATCTGCCTAATTTCTTGTAGGCCTTAGACTTGTGTCATGTTTCTAAACTTTGTTTTGAAAGCATGCTAGCCAGTTAGCCTGGAACCTGCAGCATAGAAACAGAGAAAGACCCTGACTCCACACTGTAAAAAAGAAATCCTCTGGCCTCCACATGTGTGTTCATGATCTCTCCCTCGACACACACACACACACACAGAGAGAGAGAGAGAGAGAGAGAGAGAGAGAGAGAGAGAGAGAGAGAGAGAGAGAGAGAGAGAGAGAGAGAAGAGATCCAATACTTTTAATAGTTTCCTAAAGATATTGCTGCAAAGGAAAAGTAAACAGGCTCTGGAAACCACAGCCCTGAGGTCACGCTCACCACCCCACACAGCCCTGAGGTCACGCTCACCACCCCATCCACCCCTCATCCTCCTGATGCTGGAGATGCTTCCTGTTTGGGAAAGTAGGAAAGCAAGCATAACTCTAGTCTGAATCACACATCAGTCGGCACAATTTTAGAATAAGGAATAAGCAACTTAAAGTCAAATTCTAGAAAGCTCTGAGGGAAACAGTAAAACTGATAAAGGGAGAAACCATAACTCTGACCCAGAAAAGGTATAAACAAATTCATAGGCTTACAAGGCATTAAAGGCAATGGCACACTCCAATCCCAGTTGTGAATACTACACTGGCAAGTGATGCTTGTGTGAGAGCCATCCCTTAGCTCTAACTGCCATTAACTGCCTCAGCAATCGAGCAGCTGGGGAAAGCTGCCACTAGCAGAAGCAGAGTAGAATCCTAAAGAGAAGCAGGGATTCCTTTATCTTCTACAAAGAATATCTTTGCAAGAAAGACATATGGTGCCTCAGATGTTGACTTGGTTTTTTTGTTTTTGTTTTTGATTTTTCAAGATATGGTTTCTCTGTGTAGCCCTGGCTGTCCTAGAACTAGCTCTGTAAACCAGACTGGCCTTGAACTCACAGAGATCCGCCTGCTTCTGCCTCCTGAGTGCTGGGATTAAAGGCGTGCACCACCACCACCCAGCTGAGTTAGACTTTAAACACAGCCATGTCATAACCCTAAGTCCCACAAATTGGCAATGAATAGTCCAACCCAGGGAAACCAGAGCAAGGAGAACCCGTGATGCTGTGAGTCAGGTCTGTTCTCAGATCATCACCAACAGCAAAGGTCACCAGAGGCAGAGGTGCGCATGTGCACAGTGCAGGGTGGACTGTCCAGGCAACTCTGGACCTTAGGAGGAGCTGGCCGAGTGCACAAGACTCCTTTTTTCCTTTGTTACACCCAGTTGACAGACCTAAGTTGAAGAGGCTCTAATCTGGGCAAACAGGAGCAGACCCAGTGAAGGAAGAATGCTTAGGTGTTATAAATGGTATCTGAGCGATCCCTCAAATAATAGGGGGAGAGTCTCTGTAAACACAAAACAAGATAGGCCATGGGTGGTGATGACTAAAGTGAACCACAAACACGGGGTTTAATTTCTTATTCTCCCCACTATTACATTTGAAAAGCTTCAAATAAAAAGTAGCACATAATCATTGCAGAAATTTAGATGATTACAAAATTTTAAAAACCACCAAGAAAAAAAACATACAATTCTATAACCTAAAAATACTCCTATCACTTTGGTCTCTTTCCAACATTGTCTTCCTTTCCCGTGTATGTACACATGTACACAGATACCACAACATCTGTGTGGAGGTCGGAGGACAACTTGAGGGAGTTGGTTCTTTTCATTCTATCATGCAGGTTCCTGGGACTGAACTCAGGCTTACCAGCTGTGCCTCCTCCATTGGGCAATATCACCAGCCCATTTTTCTTTTAGTTCCCAAATAGGATTATTCTAGCCATACTGTTTTTTTCGCTTCCTTCATTAGTCCACTCTTAATTTCTCTTGGGCATTGTTCAAGTTGCTAAAGATTCTGTTTGGTTGTTTTTGAGGAAGAATCTCTTTATGTAGTAGTGGCTGATCTGGAACTTACTTTGTAGACTGGGCTGGCCTTGAACTCACAGATATCTGCCAGCATCTGCCTCCCAAGTGCTGGAATTAGAGGCATGCAAAACGCTGCCTGACCCTCAAGTTGCTAAAGATTTTTAATGGTATGATTTTGCCACCCAGCCATTTATCAAAAACTAGCCTATGACCTATTCCTAACACTTTTGCTACAATAAGAAAGTCTATAATAGCCAGGCAGTGGTGGCATGTGCCTTTAATCCCAGCACTAGGGAGGTAGAGGCAGGTAGATCTGAGTTCGAGGCCAGCCTGGTCTACAGAGGACAGGCTCCAAAGCCTGTCTTGAAAGAACCAAAACAACAACAACAAAAGTCTGTGATAAACCAGGAAAAAATGACACTTATTATAATTTGGGCAATTTCAAATCAGAAAGAAACGTCTTAATGTCTAAATGTAACTCCATACCACACGAGCCAGGAAGAGGTCAAGAGAAAAACTGGTGGCTGGCAGATGGCATAATCCTAAACAATTATTAACTTTCCCTGTGCAAAGGCCATGATGAAACTACCACAGGTCTAAGGCTGACGCAGCTCACACAGTGCCTCTCAGTCAATTGACAGGTTAACCAATGAGTTCAGGAAATCTGCTAGAAGCCTCTGAAATGCCGACCTTCACAGGTGGACTACTCCATCCTGGGATGGCACAGAAGATTAAGCAGGCATAAGGGTGGGCTCTGGTTTCTCTCTGGAGCAGATACCCACAGTCCATGTGCTGTGTTCTTCATCCTCCTGAGTGCTGGGATTAAAGGCGTGCACCACCACCGCCCAGCTGAGTTAGACTTTAACTTCTTCCCCTGACCTCCTAAATGTTGAAGAGTCCCTAACACTCCACCACTGATGGACTCCCATAGGTTTTCAAAGACCAAGAGGCTGGAGAGATGGCTCAGTGTTTAGAGCACTCTGCTCTTCCAGAGGACCCAGGTTCGATTTTCAGCCACTCACACGGAGGCCTACAACTGTCTAACTCCACTTCTGAAGACTCTGAGGCCCTCTTCTTCCACCTCCGTGGGCACCGAGCATGTATATAGTCCACTTATATATACGCAGGCAAGAAATTCATGCACAAAACATTTTTAAAAAGTAAGTAAATCTTTTAGAAGAATAATGTATTGCCAATGTGGACAATCTGCTGAGCTTTACCGAAACTGCTAAGCTTCTGGACACACACCAGGAGGATGAACAAATGACACCACACACATGCTTCAGTAATGAGCTGCAGGATAATTAATCTTCTCTTGTTGCTATTAGGCTCTTTGACAGTAAAAATCACTTTAACACTAAGTTGTTATCAATCGTCTACTTACATATTTCTCCAAGTTGGGAGCCCCTCAAAATCAAAGTTCATTTCTGACTGGTCTATGCCCTCCCTCTGGATCCACATATCACAGAGAAACAGGAAAACAGACATGCAACCAAAACAAAGACTTTGAGTGATTCTGTTTTTCAGCTTGATTCACCAGTAAGGCAATCTTTAAGGTTAAAAAAAAAAGCCAATGCATAAACACAGAACAGCTGTCATCTGGCAAAGACACTATCCCACACGGAGCCACACCCGCCACAGAGATAGGACAAGCTCAATTCATCCCGAGTCCAACCGACTTGATTGCTAGAGATTTCCCTAAGGTGATGCAAGAGTGGAAGGGAGCCACATGCGTGGGTGGCTCAAAACCTGCCCCACGGAGGATGAAACCAGAAGGTTACCTTGCAGACAGCCGCCTGGAGGACAGCATCAAAGCCCCCTTCAGGGGCATCACGGTTCCGGGACACCCTCTGCCTCCTCACTTCCTCGTTGAAACTGTCGACTCTGTCTGTGAGAGGCAGCAGATGGCGGAACCCGAAGGAAGGGACGCAGTTTGGGAATAACTTGTAACTAGAGAAAGAAAAGAGAAGAGTCACTTTTCCATCATCGTCTCTAAGTGTGCTCAATTTTTAATTACATCTCATTATTTCAGCGTGCATGTATGTGTACACACGTGCAAGTGCAAGTCAGAGAACAACTTGCAGAGATGGTTCTCTCCTTAGCTCGTGTGGGTGCCGGGATCAAACTCAGGTCATCAGGCTTAGTGGCAGTCACCTCTGCCCACGGGACCACCTCTCTGGCCCCGTCTCTAAATATCAATCAAGTGTTCTGGCCTTCACTGCATACCTTGAAAAAAACCTGAATCAACATTTACCTAGCACCTACCACCTACTCTGGGATAAGCATAGTGGAGAGAACAAAGATAAATAACAGCTAGCCCATGATGCGGGCACACGGGCAGCCCACGGAAGTGCGCAGACGGTGGCTCAAAGTGAGGGTCACGGTAGACTCTGTGGCTGGGGGAAGACCTGACAAGGGCCTTGGAAGAAGAGTGGCACAACCAAGGTGGACAACGGTCAGTGAGGACAACATCAGCAGGGCTATTTGGGTAACTACTTTTCTTACAGTGCTGCTGCCGTGAGACAGAGGACTCACTGGTGACCACCGGGATGCGCTGGCACAAGAAGGATCCGGAATGGATTCATTTATAACATTGCAAGGATAAAGCATCCACTCGCCAGAGAAATCCAACTTTCTTCAAATGGGAAACTGTAACTGAGAACTGGGGACGCCGTGCATGTCACAGTACTGTCAGGTTAATTTCAGGGGAAGCCGTAAGTGGTCCCATTCCTAGAGGAAAGTAGCTCCCAATGACAGCACCAAGCCTTGGCAATGAAACAGGAAGGGAGGCCTTGAATGGGTTCTTGGGATAAAGGAGAGGGCAGAGTGTGGCAGCCACAGAAAAGAACACTAGCTGAGCCGCGTGGAGAAAGGAGCCAGAGGAAGGCCAGTGTGCTGGACGCAGAGTAAAGGGGACTGACTAGGAGGACGTGGGGGGCAGTCTGGCCCAGACCTGCAGGATCTGTGGCCCTGCAAAGAAAGGAAGTCTCTCTTTAAAGAAACAAGAGGCCTGGGAGAAAGGCTTTAGAATCCCATTCAAGATGTGCCTGGGAAGGGAAATAGGCTTAGCAATAGACATCTCTGCTGCCAAGACCAGGCTCGCCAGGACAGGTCTAGGCAGGCTCCTCTCCTCTGCAGAGAGGCAAGCTTTGGCTGTCTAGGAGGTGGCCCTACCACAATGCCACACAGACCTCACAAGCTGCTGGGGACAGTTCACACCCCTGGCCCCTCCCCCGCACATACTCCCCAATCCACCAGTTTGTTCTCCCCAGCCAGACTTTCCTCTGCCTGGTTTGAGTCTTCACAAGCACCTTAAGCTTAGACTGGATGGCTCTTTTTAAACCCACATCTCAGGCCACTCTGAGATTGTGTATAACCTCCTCAACGTATAAAAACAAGCATGGGGAGCTGGAGAGATGGCTCAGTGGTTAAGAGCACTGGATGTTCTTCCAAAGGACCCAGGTTCAATTCCCAGCACACACAAGGCAGCTCACAACTGTAACTCCCAAGAGCTTCAATGCACATAAAATATGGAACATCCTGTTCCCATTGGAAGAAGGATCTGAGACCTCCACCCACTTCTATCTGACAGACAGACAAGCAGGGGGGGGGGGGGAAGACACCCACAACAGCATTCCATTCTTCCTCCAAGCTCCTACTCCCTTCTGTTGTTCACTGCCACCATTTAGAACCTTGGGTGTGTGCTTGTTGTGACGGTTGGAGGAGAGACGGAATAACTGCTGTGAAGGGAGAAACCAGGAGAGCTGGGAGAAGCATCCCTCAGTGTTTACACCTCCCTCAGCTCTTGCTACAGAGAAATGAAGAGTGTCTGCTGGAGAGAAGCCTGAACTAAAGGCAATGTGATATTGCCCAGTGAACACAGCTTTGCCACTCAGACACTGGGAAGCTCTCTACTGTCACTGAAACAGCATGGGACCAGACTTCTGGCTTAGTCCTGGGAGTTGCTCCAGAGTGGCCTAGAGATCTGTGTTTTAAAGTCACCAGAAGGCTAACCACCACACACACATTGTGTCTGTACTATGGAATCCAGTGGAGGAACATTTAAGAAGAGTTACTGAGTTTAAGATTATTAACCAGGAAGATGAAGATAAATATAGATGGGGGGAGAATGTGTCCTATGCATATGCATGTGTGTGCATGCAAGCATGCATGCATGTTCCCATACATTCATGTAAATAGTGAATCCAGAGCCGAGTGGTGGTGCATGCCTTTAGTCTCAGCACTTGGGAGGAAGAGGCAGGTGGTTCTCTAAGTTCAGGGCCAGCCTGGTCTACAGACTGAATTCCAGGACAGCCATGGTTACACAGAGAAACCCTGTCTTGAAAAACCAGTGAATCGGGCTGGGCAGTAGTGCCACAATCCATTAATCCCAGCACTCAGAGGAGGCAGAGGCAGGCAATCTCAGAGGCCAACCTTGTCTACAGAGCAAGTACCAGGACAGGCTCCAACGCTACACACAGAAAATCTGTCTCAAAAAAACAAACAAACAAAACAAACAACACAACAAACAAAAACCAGTGAATCTAATTTGAAGACAATATTCAAGACAAAATTGTATATGGAGTTAAAATGGAAGACACCTCTCTTATTGTGAACACAGAGAACTTCTTGACAAAATATAATTTAAAAAATGTACCTAGACAGCCATGATTAAAGGCTACAAGAGAAGAGGAAATAGTTTATAAATGAATGAGATGAAGAGAGGGAGTGGGACCCAAGAGTTCTCTTAAGGGGTGAAAAGAAGCTGGTCCTAATAAAAAGCATACAAACACAGACATACACATGTGATGCAGTATTATAAAAATATCTCTTATATTCTAAGAAACTGGAGCTTTTGCTGGATCTTACAACTCAGTTAATAATACACCTGGAAGTCACGTAAGACCTAGGACTGCTGTCTTCTGTGATCAGCCTGTTTGCTTAACCTGCCTTTAAGAGAACAATGTAACACCCAGCCTTGTATGCCTTTGATTTCCCATGTAATCAACTTTACAACCTCAGTCAATGCACAGCTGCTATCTTAAGTTATGTCCTTGTCCATGCCCCTGACCCAGAGTAGTGACTGTGTACCATTTGTTGAAAAGAACAAAAATAGAGGCTGAAAGTAATCTTCTGAAAGAATATCCACCATAAATGCTGAACATTGCATTTGGATATGACTTGACAAACGACGATGTTTGTAATAATACTGTTTATCTCGGTCAGCTGGAGTCAGTGACTTAGTCTCTTGCAAAATTCTAATTTTCTGTAAAGTATCTCTTCCTCTCTGGGCTTGGGCTTAAGTTCTGGAGACATGCCTAAACAAACCAAGAGGGTCACTGACAGGAAATATGGGACATGAGATGGTGTCTACCTCAGGAAAACAGAGAAGAAAATCTAAATCAGACAGTATGCAGAGTACACCTGCTCCTTCTGCAGCAAGACCAAGATGAAGAGACAAGTAGTTGGCATCTGTAGCACTGTGATTCCATCACGAAAACAGTGGCTGGTAGGGCCTGGACCTACATCACTGTTGCTCTCACAGTGAAATCTGCCATCAGAGGACTGAAGGGTATGAAAGACCAGTGGAAGAGATACATTTGAGACTGGCCAAGCCCTCAATAAATGGGCTAATTTTTTTTTTCAAGACAGGGTTTCTCTGTATTGTTTTGGAGGCTGTCCTGGAACTTGCTTGGTAGACCAGGCTGGCCTCGAACTCACAGAGATCCACCTGCCTCTGCCTCCAGAGTGCTGGGATTAAAGGCGTGTGCCACCAACGCCCGGCTAAATGGGTTAATTTACATTAAAAAACCTCATTCCTTCCCTATAGGTTGCTTTCTATGCTGTTCAATAAAAACAGTGCAGAGTCCTGATGGGGGTTGCCCTTCTGTGTATATGTTTCTCTTATTGGTTGATGAATAAAACATTGATTGGCTGATTGGTCAGGCAGGAAATATAGACAGGGCTAGGAGATGAGAATTTTGGGAAACGTAGGCAGGCTGGGACACCATGTGAGACCAGGAAGGTAGGACGCACCAGGCGTTCTCCAGTAAGATAAGAAGACATGGAAATACTTAGATTAACAGAAATGGGTTAATAATTAAGACAGAGCTAGCCAATAAGACGCCCTGGTCATCAGCCAACAGTTTCATAATTAATACAGTGTCTGTGTGTTTATTTGGGGCTCAAGGACAGTGGGACCCCAACGGGCCAGAAAACTTGTGCTTACAGAGCCCTCTGTTAGGGATAGACACAGACACAGGCAGATTCACAAGAAAGCCTTCGGGCAGGCGTCAATTCAGACTCATATGACAGACAGAGGACACATGATATACAGAGCATGGAATAGAGAATTCAAATCTGGCTTGGTCTTGGTTAAATGACACCAAAACGTGCTTTTATCTCTTTCCTTAATGGGACACCAACTCATTATTGGTGACTCAGAGTTTATTAATGAGTTCAAGCTAACTGCACACACATGCATGCATATACATAAATTAAAAAATATATGTATGTATATATGCCCTGTACATGCTGGTGCTGCGGGAGTAGAAAAAGGCATCAGATGCCGTGAACCCAGAATTACAGGCAGTTGTGAACCGACCAGTGTGGGTGCTGGGAACCAGACCCAGGTCCTTTACTAAGGCTCTGGTAATGAGAATTCCCAACTTCTAGGTGGTGATGGTCAGCATTTAATCCCAGAACTTGGGAGGCAGAGACAGGTGGGTCTCTGTGAGATCCAGGACAGCCAGGGCTATACAGTGAGACCAAAAAGGAAAGAAACCGCCAGCTGAGAAATTAGCAGGAAAACCAGCCCCACTGTCAACACCAAAGGCCCCAGTGGAAAACAGGCTCTGATGAAGATGAGCTAAGGAAAACATTTCACACCACGTGAGAGGCTAGCAGGCCCAAGGAATGTCAGCAAACCTCACACTCAAGAACAGAGTGCC